ATGTTGTTGTTGAGTTGCACTATTGGTATGATTGTTGTTTACATCATCAATATTGTTGGTGATAACATTGTTATAATTATTGCTGTTGTCGTAATTGTTGTTGTTATAATTATAATGATTGTTGTTTTTATTTAGTAGTCTATTTGAAGGTAGAATGTTGTTAGACTGTACTTGAATGTTCATGGAGGGATTTTTGTTTTTGTATGAAAATTGATTCAGCAATTTTCAGGTTTGTGATGTTGTTATTGCAATAAACTATTTGCGTGTTATTTAACATTTGTCGTGTTAAAGTGATGTTATGCTGTTGTTGATAATGTTGTTTAATTGCTCCATCTTGTAGATGCATGGTCAAACGTCTTGACAATGTGGTAGTTGTCATTCCAATATATGAAGCATTGTTGCGGTGCGAAATTAATAAATTAAAAAGAAATATGAAAAAGTTGAACAATGTTGAAAGTAATGTTGAATTTTTGAAATAGATATATATATATATATATATATATATATATATATATATATATATATATATATATAAGTATTTACTTTAAACAAACAAGGAATCAACAAAGTAGAGGCACATATATATATAATATTTTTCTATTTATGAACAAATGAACAAACATCAATTTAAAATTGACCGTTTCTATGAAATATTTTACTAGACAAAAAGCTGCCACTGTAAATTATTGGTGGGTAATTAGTAAAAAATGCATCTGGTAAATTCATTTTGTTCTCCTTACCTTCCTTTCATCACAAACACTTGTGGTTAAAAATAGAAAGCTGGTAAATTTTGTGACGCAATTGAGTGTGGCAACATTTTGTGGGTGGAGCTAGATTTGATTGCCAGATCGAACAGGTGTTGCAATGAAATGATGATGAAAATGAAGATGATTAAGTGATCAATATGTTTTCGTCTCATTATTTTATTATTCCTATCGTATCCTTATTCGCATTTTTATTATTGCTATTTTTATTATTATTATAAACATTTTTCGAATGTCTTATGCTGGTTTATCACATCAGTTGTTTGCATTCCATAAATAAAAATCACCACAATATTTGTTCAGTTATAAGTTGAAGTTCATTACAATTAATGGAGATTCGTTTGTTGGGAATGTATTGCTGAGATTGGCTCACTCAACTGCTAGCAGGTTGGTAGGTTGTTTTGGTGGTTAATTCAAGTTACATCTGGTATTCGTTTAGTTCTATGAAAATTTCAATTTCTCAATGGTAGTTTGTTTAAACTGAAATCTCTTCATTCATCTAAATAATGAGCTTGTTTTCAGGCAGAAAAAAATTATTTTATTGTTCAACCATGGAACATTTTTGATGCTGTCACTAAATAAAAAATCAAAAATTTGTTTTCAAAAAAATTTCTGACGCTAAATTATTTATTAAAAATTAATTAATAAAAATTAATTAATTAATAAAAATTTTTTAAACATTTTTATATAAAAACGTTGATATAAAAGTGATTTATTCGCTGTGCTTCATTCCTCAACGCGCGCACTCCAAGCAAATCAAAAAAAAGGGATCATATTGTTCTGGGGAGTGACATTTGAAAATTAATTGAACCACGTCATTTCCAGTCGCTTAATTATTCTAAATATTTTTTCACTATTTTTATTCTCGATCGCATTTATTCTTATCAACTTAATTACTCTGATCGCTTTCTATGAATACAAAATGTATGCAACCTGATAATATTTTATAAGATCAGACACTAAACCAAACGCTGTATAATATAATATATATATATATATATATAATATATATAATATAATATATAATATAATATATATAATATATATATAATTGTATAAAGCGCGTACGCAGATGTGTGTTGATGAATAAGCCGGTGTGTATGTTGATGTGTATGCTGATGCAAAGCTGGATTCAATCCAGGGCATGGTCTGGGGCCCTCACAAAAAAGGGCTCATACAAAAAGTGAGCCGCATAAAAGTGTTATGCATATGTATGTTATTTTTTGTTGAACTTGGCACAAACACATTGGCTTTGTAACTCAAGCAACTGTTGAAAAGTGAAATAATCTAAAAAAAAAGGTTGCTATTTATGCCGGATTGACTTTGATTAAAATGCAAATTAGGCCTTCTACAAATAATTTGACGACTTCATTAAATAATTATGGATATCCACTTTATCGTTGCCTCAGGGCCGTCAAACTTGCCTGCATTTAAAATATATCCTTTCACATCAAAAACCTGATTAATTAATTTGAAAGAATGCTGACCAGAGACAAATGATTTCAAAAATTTCCATTCATTACCGTTTTTTGTGAGGGGATGATTTTTAAAATTTTTGATAATTTTTTATGGTAATTTCACTTTATTTTATTATTATATTATACACAGAATCTTCAATATTTTCTTTATTTCATAATCTGGTGGGGCATGCGTCGTTGCATTTCTCCTTTTGGATCCGCCACTGCTGCTGGCCTGATTTTGTTGTTCCAAATGTTTAAGTATTAGGTCCGATCCTCCTAATGATGTTGTGCATTTATTACCTGCATAAATGTATATTATATAATTTGTTATAATTAATATATATATTATATATATATGTGTGTGTGTGTGTGTTGTGTGTGTGTGCGCGTGTTGATTATTTTCAATTATTTTACTGTTTGTTTGTTCACTGGGTTGTTTGTTTCAATTAATAATGGACTGATTCAATGCTATTCAACAACACAAAAAACATATTTACGACCACCCTAACCCACCCTATTTGTTGCATTAAAACTTTTATTGTTTCACCTCCCACGCAGTAACATCACTACATCTCATCCGGCAGTTGGAGTGATCGATCGATGGGCGAGTGCGACTCCATCGAAATTTGCTGCTCGGCCTCGCTGGCTTGCCTCTGCCTCGGAATCATCTTCACGAGTCTCACACTGGTTGTTGATGTCAACTACAAGTTGGTTGATGTTGTTGCTGATGTTGTTGATGTTGTGGTTGTTGTTGATGTTGTGGTTGATGTTGTGGTTGATGTTGTTGCTGTTGTTGTTGATATTGTGGTTGTTGTTCTAGTTAAAGATGATTTTTTGTCAATGATATCCATCATATTTCCACAATCATCAAATTTTGTAGCTAAAACAAACTTCCTAGAGTGTGATTCTGAAGAGCGGAGAATTTAAATTAGTGGACATTTTTCAAGACACCAAACCGTTTTGTATGTTAATTGACCCATAATGAGCGGACATTTTTTAGTATCCTCGTTTATGTACCTCAAAATGGTGTTGAAAAAAATTTTTGATTTAAAAGTAAAAATGCAAGTTATACAAAAATCAGAAAATGGAAAAGGTATTAGAAAGATTGCACTGCTATACGGTTTACGATTGTCCTCTTGTTCTCACGTAGAAAACACTCTTTTGCTAAATCTGCGTTTGATTTTTCTGGCCCTTTTCTCTGGAACTCTCTATCTCCTTTATTAACTACTTCTCCATCACTTTCGAATTTCAGAGTGGATCTCAAGACCTATCTATATGCAAAATTCACTGAGAAGCACGGTTGAACATCGCGGGAAATAACGCATAACAAACTAATAGATTGATTGATTGAATGCAGAAAGACGCAAATTGCAAACATTCGTGAAAACAACGACTAAAAAGCTGAGGAAAGCGAGAATCCCTAGTAACAATAAAACGCTGAAAAGACAAAAAAACAGAATTGGAAGAAATTTTTTAGTTTATTTGAAAAGTTTTCTTAACCTAGATTGCTTAATCTGCCAGTTTTTAATCTATCAAAAATATTTTAAAATGTGAACATTTAGAAACAAATTGTTGTACCGAATAAAAAATAAAATTTCATTGTATCTGAAACAAGAATATTCATTTCATCATCATAATTGTAATTTAATATTGAGTCTTCAGAAGAAGACTAATCAGAGGCGCGGACAGTTTGAGCATTTCCTGCTGGGGCTCTTTGTTGAGGATTTTGCTGCATTATTTCAGGGCTATAAAGCGCATACGACACATTCCTACAAATTATATTGCACCTACTTTTGATAGATAGCTAATTTTATAAAAAAAAAATGAACTATTGCAGCTCACTCTAGCATAAAACCTCTTGCTCCCCAATTATAAAACAGAACTGAAGATTATTCTAATCGAAACTGCAAGACTAACTGTTTTGTTTTAATTCTCTCATTTTCTTTTTTATGTTTCACTGACTTCCAGTTTTTGTTATTCTTGCAAAATTGCGGATCTAACTTTGAAAATTTTATCGACAAAACCTCAATATATTTATGTAACCTATATAATTTCATATATCTCTATGAACCTGCAAAATTGCTGCAGTAACTCAGAAATTTTTTTGGACATGGTTGTTGTCAAATCCCATCTTGCATGTCGTGGCTTCCGTCAGGTTGCATGGGATTTTTTCAGTATGCGTCCATTCCGTTTACATTCAATACAAAAAAATGCTGATCAAATTCCGGTTTTTTTTTATAATAAATTTTGTCATCATTGATTAAATCATTCACAAATGTCATCATTATTATATTGTCTAACATGATTAAAAAGGTATCGTAACAATTGGCACGGAAATATATATACAGTCAAACCTTATAACGAACTTCTATATAAAGAAAATCTATATATAACGAATTTTTTTAATTTTCTTGAAATTTTGCACAAAACACTCTTTCTATAAAGCGAAAATAATTTTTTTATAACAAACAAAATTTATAAAAGTTAAAAAAATATCTATTCCCGAAAAAATTCTATGTGACAAAATTTCTATATAGCAAATTTATTTCCTGGAAACATCAAGTTCGTTGTACGGAGGTCCGGCAGTATATGTTTAAAGCAATTGTCAAGAGTTTCAGGTTGAACATATTAACGTTCTCCCACCATTTGGTAAAATAACGACCGACAGTGTGATGAGGATGAATGGAAAAGTAACGATGAAGTTGATGCTGACATCAAAATTATTTGAAAAAATGTTGATAAAAATTGATAACTGCGTTGTGAAACTGATTCAACAAGAAAGAACTAAGCAGAAGAAAAAATGATCAATAAAAGTATGAAATAAGATAAGTGTCACAAATATGTGGACCCCCATTGAAACGTGACCTCCTTTTATGGACGGCCCCTTAATCATAGTAATTAACAATTTATTCTTTACTGAATTGGTCTGTTTTATGAAAACATTAAATTTTACCTTATTTAATTGTAGGCGTTGGCCTCAAACGTCTTATTGTTTTTCTAAATGAAGTGATTTATGACTTATTACTTTTTCTCTCCAGAAAAACTTGTGGCCTCTTTTTATCATATCGTCTCCAACTTTTGAGCTAATTCTATGATCATGCAATATACATTCCAAGAAATTTTTCCAAACAATAAATGAATATTTATGGTCAAACGTAAAATTTTAAATGACACAGGCACTACAAGGTAATAAGCATACATATTTTACATATATAACATTTAGATTTAAGTACAAACATTGAAACACACATAAACAAACAAACCAGCATACATACATACACACAAACAAACAAACAAATGAACGAACAAACAAACAAATAAACATGCAAACAAACGAACGTACAAACCAACACATAAACAAACGCCTCTTAATCGGAACGCACTACCTTATAATAGATAGCTCCTTATTTAGTTCAACCAGAAATAACCATAGTAAAAATAACTTAGAAATATTCTTGCATATTTTTTATACTTACATAGAAATATTTTTGCGGCGTTAATCAAAAGAAAGTGACAAAAACGATCTAACTGGATGAAAATTATTCGAATATAAGGAAGCGTTATTTTGAGTAAATTATTTTGCGAGAATTAAAATTTTTTGAAGCAAAAATTTATTTGGGTTGTCACCACAACATCAACTTCTTCAATTACGGTGCCCAATCGTCATATCATGACAACAACATTAATTCATGTTGCCGCTATTTTTATGGAATTTTATTTTAAATGTTGAAATATTCGGTAATAATATAATATTGCCATCTATTTTTTAAATGAACGTATTTAACCATTAATTAAAAATCAACAGTTCGCAGTGGCAGATCTTCAGAATTTTGCAGTGTGCGGATGATTTCGAAATTGTAAAGTTGATGACTTTTTTCTAATTTTTGTAAATTGCCTTTTAATCTCGTTTTTGTAGAAATAATTTTTAAAATTGTCAATTGCTGTAATGTTTTGAACGAAAGAATAACAAGAAATAGGCCAATAAAGAATGACGGAGGCGTTTTCGTAGCCTTGTTTATAATGACGTTCTACCGATCACCAATAACTTTGTTGGTGAAAGACTGAAAGCGTTTTATTGTTTATGTTTTGTTTTTTTGTTGAAAGGAACTTTAATTTAAAATAATCGTGTTTTATTATAAAACTTCATTATTTTCATTTAACTGATGTGGTGCAAATATTTTGTATTTTTTATTTGATTTTTAATGTCACTATTGTTTCCACACACACGAACTGATCACTGGTGAGACCTTTCGTGAAAGAATAGACCTACTTTTGATCAACATCTGCGACCACATGATCCAAAAACCCACACACCTGTGCTGCTACCATCCTGGACCACCTGCTTTTGCCGCTTCCTTCCGTCAAAAAGAGCTGTACTGCGTGCAAGTTCAAAAGCAGATACTGACGCTTGTCAGCCGGTCTTACACTATGTACGTCCAATGGCAACGACGCCCAAGGTTTCAAGATTCTGTCTGCATTTTTTAAGTTTTCCTTCAAGCTATCTTTGAATTTTTGAACAGAACGAGCTCCAGAAGCTACTTACCCAAAAAACAATTGTATTATAACTCTAGCATCCGGCATGCTAATAATGTTTCAACCAAACTGCGCTTGCAGCAGAAATGCCACAAAACTCATAATACCACTTGTTTTCATTACAGTCGTATTTGGCTTTCTAACCTCCCATTTGACATGAGCATTAACTTGGCGACATTTCATGTGCAATTGATCGAGTTTGCTGATATGACGCCGATAGATTGTCTTGATTCACACAACCATATAGTAGTGAGGTCGGCACATCTGCAGTGTAAGCTGATATTTTAGTAGTCAGCGTTACAATTCGTTTTTTCCAGAGGCCGCCGATAGCAGAATGTACCAGCCTTGGCAAGCCTAACTGTAATATCATCATCGATGGCCGTAGTGTTGGAGATGTAACTGCTAAGGTAACAGAATTTATACCCAGAATCGGAGCACTAGAAAAGAGTAGATACTGAACAGAACGAGTCTTTGGTGGCTGTTCACATGACTGGTTTCACAGTTAGAAATACTGACATCTTGATAAGGCGATGAACTGACCCCATTGTACTTTCTCGCATTGCATTAGACGATCTCGTTGCCTGATAAAGATATAGTCGATGAGACACCTGTGCCCTAAACATGGATGATTCCAACTGGTCTTCTATTTTCTCAGTTTGATATAAGACCGTATTAGTTACCGCCAGATTGTGTTCTGTACAGAATGCAAAGAGCATTGTTTCATTTCAGTTTTTTCTACCAAATCTATTGCGTCCGACCACTCTTTCTCACAAGATATGATCAGTACCCATGTGGGCGTTGAAGTCACCCATGACGAACGGTTAATGCTTGTATGGTATTGTACAAACAGCATGACAAATTTGTTCATAAAACAAGTTCTTCCCTTCATTAGTTGCTCCAAGTGTTGGCGCGTAGCAACTGATCAAGGTAGCAGTGTGTCCACCCTCTAGTCTGTGTTGCATCTTCATTGGACGCGGTGAAATACCACAAGGTATTTCACCGCAAAGACTTTAGAAGTGAATTACAAATAGCAAATCTCACTCCAGTCATTCGCGCTTCCACTGTTGGATGACCCTGGCAAAAGAAAGTGAAACAAGCACCTCTCTCTCTTCAAACTGGGTTGCTGCAGAAATTTTTGTCCTACTGACTGCAGCAACATATATATTGTGGAAGGTAAGTTCACGTGCCACAATGGCAGATAGATGCTCATAAAGATTTCCAAGATCCAGCAAAGTACAAAATACGTATGTTCCATTCAGCAATGTTGGTGATGTTTTTTCTACCGCTGAGTAGGATAACCAGCCAGCCACGGCTGGCTAACATGGCAATGAGCTATCTTTTTTGTGACACCTTTTATGTCTGTGTATGCCTGTGTGGGTATGAAAACACTGAAGTATCCGTACGTATTGCGCTAGAAACTTTTACAACCAGCATTACATTTTGAAAATGGAAATAAACAAGGCTCAATGAAAACAATTACACAATGAAGGCATAAATTTTATCGATAGCAAATTGTTTATCACGTACTACATTCAAATTACTCCTATTAAAAACGTAAACATCGTTATGAAGAAATTTTTTTGTTATTGGAAAAGCATATAAATTTATTTATAATCAAATAATTAAATTTCTAACTCTATTGTTTAAAGTATTTTTTTATTCTGTAAATCGCAAAGAAACTAACAACATGCAAGGTATGAAACGATGAAAATATATCATAATTGTGTATATAAAAGTAGTTCTTTAGTTTTGTGATGAAATGTGTGTGTGTGTGTGTGTGTGTGTGTGTGTGTGTGTGTGTGTGTGTGTGTGTGTGTGTGTGACGGCCCAGTGAAAACAGGCCAGGGTTGTGCGAAAGCCGACCGACGGAAACATATCCCAAGTCGAAGACCCAACAAGAAGAAGTTCTAATTCCTGTATTCCAGTTTGTTCATTGACATTTTACATTATTATAGAGTTCATTTAGTTCAATTCCTTTTCATTTACTTCCGTCGATTAATAAAATTGTTATCGAATATTTTTACGCGTTCGTGTGTTACTCAGTAAAATCATATAATTCGAAAAAGCCCAGTGCCACACAGGACTGGTCGAACTCACGATAAAAATATACACAAAAATTATTGTCGGACCATAAAGAAATTCCCTGAGAAAAATAGAGGGAGAGATTACCTCACACCACCAGTTGTTTTCATAAAATTTCCGACAATATATATATATAAAAATTATGGTCTATTACCAACATATATATATATATATATATATATATATATATATATATATATTATGTAGCTATATGATCCATTATATACAATTATATAGTATATACACGTGCACAAGTTCTTTTACACAAAGATCAGCTCATAATTTATGCATAACCCATGTTATAGCATAAAGAAAATTGTCCAGCTCACCTCACAATTAGTGATGTTGTTATTATGTGTCATATATGCTTAGCCTTTAACTTATTGACATAAAATTAATCGAATTCAATGAAAAAAATTTTCTAGTTATAACATTTATAACATTTTTAAATGTTGATAGACGCTTAAATCCGGTCCTAAATCCGGCCACCAAATCCGGCCGGGGCCGGATTCGGTCGGATTTGAAAAAAAAGTCGGATTTTGGCCGGGACCAAACTTTGGTGCATCCCTAGTTTAGTGTGGTGTGTGTTAATTCCCTTTAAATTATTAAGCATTACTTCGACATCGCACCGTTCGTTTGGGTTGGTGGCCGTTTGAAACTCACTGGCCCAAACAACGTTGTAGTTCGTCATGTGAGGCAGACATGTGGCATTGTGAATCAAGTTTGAGCATCTTTTTGGAAAAAAAAATTTAATTTTTCTTTATTATTCCACTAGATTTTGCCAACTTGTTTGAGACGTTACTAACATGGGGTTTGAGAATTACCTTCTTATCTAATAAAACGCCTAAAATTTTTACTGTTTTGCCTTCGACTATTTCTTGTTTGTTGACTACAATTATAAATGGTTCTTTGTATTCCAGATATTGCACTGGTCAAAAGACGATCAATTGTGAACCCAACCCATACTCTCAAACACAGATTTATCATATGCCTAATAAATTTATTGCAAAACTTAACGAACATTATCATTGAAAAACATTTAAAAATCTGTTGCTGCAAATGTTGCTGAAGTTCGTCTTTAAGACTTGAAATCCTTTGTAAAGTATAAATTTTTTTTATTCACACGCAAAGATGTTTTGAAATTGTTTAAAGCTTGTCTTGGCAGAAAAATGTTCAATTATAAAATTTCAAATTCTGCTTTATGTACATAGTTCATTTAATTTTTTAGTTATTGCCCAAACTGTGAGTAGCTGGAAACAAATGCACCTCAGAAATGTCTAAAAAGCTGACCGGCAACGGTTGAGAATATCTATATTGAACACTAATGATGAAATATTAATAAAAGTCGATAAATGTGAATGTAATGATGAAAATGAAAAAAACTCTCTGGTTTGCAATGTGTGAATATTATGACAAAATATTTTTAATTAACTTCAAGTTGCAGTAATTAATTTTTTATTTAATTAATTTCTAATTATATTGTGACACAAAGAAACAAATTTATGTTATTTGAAAATAATGATGGGACATTTGTTTTTAGGGTCGACCCCAACTTGACCGCCAGGGAGATGGAGGGGGTGGAGCGCTACTACAACAATCTCAGAACGATGCTCTACCTCTCAGCTGTCATAGGTCTTTTTTCTGTTTTTTTTTTTATTACAACTCGAAGCTTCATTCATTATAAATGTCAGATTAACAATTTTTTTGTTTCATTCTCGTTCCAATCATTATTCTTGCGGTTAGGGTTCTTCCAAATAACTCGTTTAATTTTTAATAATTTAACTCATGAACATATGTTATTTATACTGTTGATGAAATGACATCACCTGTTTGAACCTGCTGTCTTGGTTGCAGGGTTGGGCCTGATAGCCACTGGTTCGACCCTCTTGTTACTCGCTATCATCGTTATGGCACTGAACGGCGAACTGTTTTGTTGCCTCTCAGACGATTCTCAACTTTCAGATGTTGAGTCCTGTGGCAACTGTGGCAACTCCAACGACGAAAATAAACAAAACTTGCCGCTGTTGAATGACAAACAACGAACGAACGCTCAGCAGAGGAATGGCTGCCATGTTGATTATGGTAGCTACGATCAAAGAGTTAACAAACAACATTCTGCCGACAACAATTGCAACAACGACAACCGCAACCATTACAGCAGCAACGATGGCAACAGCAACAACCACAACAGCGGCAAGGACTACAACAGCAGCAAGGACTACAACAGCAACAACGGCAACCATAACATCAGCAACAACCGCAACCACAACAGCAGCAACGACAACGAAAAACATTTGAACATAAATATTGATGACCCGTGTAATAAAGTTGCTGATAACATCACTCAACTCAGCAGCAATGACATCAACATCCACAACATAAGCAACATCAAAGACAACAAAATTTCGGACATTAACAAAACGTTTTGAATTTTTGTAAAAAAATTTCCCTTCAAATGGCATAGTTTTTCAAAATTAAAAATTTAAATGCAGCCTCAAATTTGGAAGTTTAAATAAGACCGCTGTTTGTTATTTAATTAATTATTTCATTGATCCAGTCTTTCATGTACCTGTACATTATTCACACAAAATTTTCGATTATGTAAGCCTCAGTGTAAATATTTTTGTTCTTTTATCTGTTGTCATTTATTGGCTTGTTAAATTGTTTCTTTAATATTTCCCAGTTGTTCCGCCTCTTTTGAAATTTGCATTCCTCTCACTGTTGCACCTAACATTCGTTTTCCCCAAATATTCTTTCATTTCTATTCTTGCACATTAATGGACAATTAATTATTTATTGATTATCTATTTGCTTCATGTTTTGCGATTGGTTAACATCAACCATTTGATTCGATGATTTCATTTTCATTAGAGCTGACTGGATTGTGGCAAATAAACTTCACTCGTCAGATGTCACAAGCAGATGTTTCAAATTTGCATTGCAAACTCTTCTTGATTATGTATAAAAATATATATATTTGTAATTAAAACATATTTGGTTAACTAAATTGATTTTGTAACTAATTCAAGATCATGAATAACATATAATTTTATGAATGACTTGTCAATTTCTTTCCTAAAAGCCATAATATTCATAGAAGATAGCATAATATAAAATCATTCGGCAGCTAACATAGGTTTGCTTCAACCGTTCATTGTTGCAAACGTCGGTGAACTAAACAAACTTGGTACATTAAAAAATATTATTGAGAAAAACTTTCACCAAAATTGATAAAAATTAAAAATCCGATTTTTACCCTAAATGACTATTATTGAAGGCTTTAAATTATTCAAATACTAGAAACTCACATTCCAAAGATTACCCATCCCAAAACAGACCTTTTTATGAAAGGGTGGGTTAGTTCGTGGGCGGATGAGGAATGTTATCACCATTTTTTATCATCGCTGAAAGACTGACATCGTTTATTTATTTTCTGTGTTTGAAGTTTCCTCTTGGGTAAAGTTAGAAGTCACCAAAAAGATTCGAATAAAAATTAAAGACTTCGTAATTTTTCAGCACAGACACAATCCAAAAATTATTCTTATTCATCTATTACAAATTTTAATTAAAATATCCCTAACATATTTTCAACAAAAAAAAATAACAAGTCGTTGTCATAAATTAACCGGCACACACGCTTGTAAAGAGTAGAAAACCTATATGCATTCAATATTTCATCATCATTCTTTGTGGCCCTCACCATCATTTCCACGAATTTTTTCATTGGTATTATCATTTGCATTTTGTTATCACAAATTCACAAATATTGTCCTCTTACGCTAAAACTCTTTCTCAATCCCTCTCTCTCTCGCTCTGTCTCTCTCTCTCCCTTTCTTTCTCTCTTTCTCTCTCTCTCTCTTTCTCTCTCTCTCTTCATCAACCATCACCAGTGTCTGTGTTTCAGTTTTCTTCGTACATTTCCGCACTTTTTCTTCGCATGTTCTATTTATTCGATAGTTCTTCTCATATTTCATATTATTCGATATGAAGATATTTGATCAAACATCCGACAAATCGCTGGCACGTAAAGCTTCGACAACACTTTCAACTCTTACGTTGGTGATCATCGCCATCAATTGCAAAATAAACAAAAGACAACAGGATACGATCTATAAACTCCCGTGCACATCCCAAACGTTGATTTTTGTTAGCCTTTCAACTGATGCTCGGTTGTTACATTGGAGAAATCGAAACTAAACTAAATAGTTCATCAAATTGTTGCACTTTTGCTTCTAAAATTTAGTAAAATATTCCTGCTTGGTTGCATGGTTTCAGGACGTGCAATGCTTTAAATGTTGCGTTGCAAGAACATTTAAAACATTTATGAGAGGAAGCGTTGTTAAAAAGTGTTGAAAAAATATAATTTTCACAACAATTTGCATTGAAATTAATTTATGCAATTACTGTCCCTTAGTTGACAACATTCACAAAACTTTTTCGAATCTTCTGTGCAGGGATTGCAAAAATATAATCCATTCAAATAACCTTAACGTTGATTACTTTCAACATCTGATGGGTGGTAATCACACGAAAAAAAAACTCACATAGGAAGATTTTTACTACGCAGTACACTCGAACTACAGGCGAGGGCGAGATCTCTATGGTGTGGGAAAAACACAAAACGTAATAAAACGTAACATAACATGTAGAACAACATAACATTACTTTACATAACATAAAAACATGTGAGAATCACGCACGCGAGCGCTCACACATACACACACACACACTCACATCAATAACAAAGAAAAGTTGCTGAAAGGCCGCTCAAATTATTTTCCAGCGTTAACAAATGTGTTAAGTGAGAATGTAATGAAGATTCAATTCTGTTGTTTCTTTTCAATTTTCACCTATCAGGTAGGAATAATATTTATGCATCCATTCGTATTAATTAAAAAAAGTTTCTGTTTCATTAAATCTGAGGTAAAGAAAAAAATTATTATTAAAAAGTAATGGGAAAAAGTGTTATAATAACATTGTCAGCAGTAAAAAAGAACACGTTCTATGGGTTTCATCTTCTGTTGATTGCAAATAATTAACTGCCAAAACTTCTTTTCGATGTTACGTGGTTTCTATGTTGTTGTTATGACATGGCACGATGTACCATTTACATCAAACGATCAAAATTTCTTGTTAATGGTAATGGAGGGGAGTGCTTTCCACTGGGAATGTTTGTGAATGAGCAGCGAATCTCGTGTTTGTCATGCCAACATGATGTGTTGGTTAATACACGTTTGCAATTTTTCCTAAGATTTAGTTCGTGTGCTCGCCAACAAATTATTTCTATTACTGAACTGATGAACTGATGTTTTTTAATAATTTTTTGAAAATCTTTTCTAGACAAAACAAAATCATAAATTTTTATTTATTTTCATTTTACTAATTTGTTTGTTATTTATTCTCATTAGGGCTAAAAATTTATAATTCATAAAAATGTTCACATTGGCTTCAACTCAAACAAAAACAAACTGCAACACATGTCCAAATAAAATCAGCCTCCATAAGTAGTCATTGTTATCATAATTTAAATTTATTTATTGCCTTTATAATGATGTCTGCCATTGTTAAAGCAAGAAAACATTTCACCCAACCATTCAGAGATGTTAAGACTTGAAGAAATATAAATTAAATCATAAAGTAGAGACTGACTGAAAATAACAAAATGATGCAACAGTTACTGCCCATGAAAGAGAACAGAAGAACAATTCTTCTGAATTCCTCTTCTTCTGTTGCAAGCGACTGCAGTTGGAGGTGCCTGTGTGGTAAGGAATGGTTGTTAAGCCCCATGCAACTTCCCCTCCCTGCAGGTAACATTCAAATCAACATTTGCTGGTCTTTAAAACCGACGTTTGTCGTATGGGCTATCGACAGAAGAAAGAAATAAACAAACGTGAGCATATGTTAAGAAGAACAACGAACAGCATATACGAACATAAGAAAAACGAACAGCATATACGAACATAAGGACAACAAACAACATGCAAACGTCAGCTTACACGTTAATTTAAATGCTCCATGGAACAATTAACAAACGGACATATGCTTGGAAACACGCAGAGTTGTGCACGTTTCAATAAAAATGAAGAACATGGCTTCCACCGTTTGCTTTTTCCCTACAAATGTTTGAGGTTGTGATCAGAAACACTAATGAATTTATTCCTTTCAGTCCTCAATCAGACAGATGAATGATGTCCGTTGCAGTGCAGCAGTTGGTCTGCCTGTCCACCGAGGATCATTTATCCCATTCCTCTTCCCCCCAGCCATCCGATCATTCTGATCTTTTCAACCGGATATGATGGATTGCAGCTGAGTTCACCAGAACGCACACACAACAACACGCAAGCAAACAATGTACATCACTGCAGATACACACAAATATCACTACACATACATATACACATCACTGCACATACACACAAACATATTAGCATATTAACTTTAAAGCTAACATACGCAAAAACAATTTGAATTTTTTTATTTATTTCAAGAAATTGAAAATGAAATTAATTAAAAATTTTATTAAAAAATTTAAAAACGAAAAATAATTAAATTTGAAATTTTTCTGTTCATCAATCGTTAAAAAATTTACAAAATTTTCATTTGAAATAAACATTTCAAGTTTTAAAATTTAAAAAATTCCACATATAATTTATCATTGAAAACAATTTTTATATTTTTCATTATCATCAACCGTAACCGTTATATTGATATTCAACCATCATCATTCTCATTGTCATCATCTACAACTATAGAAGCATCAACAAAATAAAATTTATCATCATCATTACGTCATCATTATATCATGTCATCACTACAAACCTCACCGTTACATCACCAGATGATCATTACGTCATAATTTCTTCCAATCCATCATTTTGTTTACTAAAAAAAACTGACGAGCGTATTCCAGATGAGAAATGAATAGGTCTTCTCAGACGAACAACAACAATCAATCATTGCTGTTGGTCGTCCAGCAACACAAACAACAACGCCACCATGCCTTTCAATGCACAACTAACTATGCAACTGGCAAAAATTCATACATATACTTATATATACATATGTAATCATACACTTATATATATGTATATATATATATATGATTGTATATATAATTAATAATTACATATATTATTCCATTATACAACAATACAAATAAACAAACATTTAAACAAAGTCACGTTGTTACCATAGACAATAAACATGTTGTTGGTGTACGTTTCAGTAGCCAAGAATGCAACTTGTTAAATATTCCTGGCATTCAAAATGTTACAAACAACTTTTTAATAGATTAATGGAAAATATAGGAAATTGATATACAGGGTTGTATGTTTTTTCATACACGCTCGTAATATTTCAGTTAACATATTTTATCAGTACTTCTTTGACATCGAAGAAACACAGCAAGCACACGCGCAGGCACAATACATATATGTGTGTGTTTGTTTGTGTATTTGTGTGTGTGTGTTTGTGTGTTTGTGTGTGTGTGGGGGGGGGGGGGTTAATGTTAATGTGGATTACCATTGTAATGATTACATTATAATGTAATTTCATAATAAATTTGATTGCGTGAACACTAAACAAGTCTGCGTGTTACATGTTACCAGATATTTACACGTGTTAAATAGTTCAATTGTTATTCACACATAGCAACATATTTAGATATAGGCGTTTGTTAATACTCTGAATTCCATTAAAAACAATTAATAAATTATATATACATATATAAATTCTTAAGATATATATATACATACATGTGCGTGTGTGTGTGTTTCCGTGTGTGTGTGTACAATTAAGAACGTTTGATTGGGACTCCAGTTTAACGACGAGTGGGATGTATGTTTCGGGAAGAATTTAATGCATGCATTATTTCTTATGTACGTTTCGTTCTTCAAAATTCAATTTCTTTATTTTAAAAAATTGGTTGTTGAACTTTTATCTTCCGATTTGATTTTGTGCTAAACCTCTTCCCACCTATAAGCTCTTGTTTTATTGTTGGTATAAAAATTATTAGCACCATTTGAGTATCCGTTATTTACACTGCTGTTGTTGTTTGCTGCATATCCGTTGAAACCGGTTCTACTTGCACTGTCGGAATAACCGTTACTCGGTCGTGCATCGGTGTTGTGCTTCGATACCGAGCTGGCCGGCGATGAGCGGTTGTTGTCAGCCATCCCCAAAGATCTCTTGTCGTAGGAAGCCGAATGACGCGAGGAGCCAACGAAACTGCGCAGATCAGCTTGCGATGAAGAATCCTGGTTGACACTCGCTGTGCTGAAATATAGAACGCCATCCTTGTGCTTCGACTTCATCATCGTTCCTTTGTTGCCGTATCCGTTATCAGAGGAATTAAAATGCTTCCGTTTTTTTCTGCAGATGATGATGATGAGGGAGATGATAAATAAAGCAATGATGACAGTGGCGATGATGATGATGATGGCTATCGTAACCGCCATCTTGCTGTTCTCGATGGGCTTGTCAATAATTTCTTCAACATCTGGCGTGTCCGTGCTTTGTCTTGAATCGGTTTTGTCGGGACTTTGGAAAAATTTATTTATTGGATTATCGACGTTTTTCTCATTGTTGGAAAAATGCGGATCAACGACTTCACTAAATAAATTATTTTTTTGTGGACCATCATCTCCATTTTGGCTTTCCTTACCGTTTTTATTATCATTGTTTTCTTCTTCGAAAACTTTTATGTTTTTTGACGATGCACCGTTTGGTAGCTTCATGAAATCCGTCACGTGCACAACTGGTCGATTTGTGACATCATCCTTCTTATTAACATTACCAAGATTGTTGTTGGTATCGTCCTCACTGTTGATGTCATCAAATTGCGAGTCAACTTGTTCGATGTCAAAATTTTCACTATTTATTTTGTTGAAGTTGTGTTCGCTGCTTAGTATCATTTTGTCATTATTTTTGCTTTTCTTTTTTGGTGATTGTGGTTCAATGAAGTTTTCGGAAATTAATGACTGGGTTGTTGTTGTGGTTGTTTTTGTCGTTGAGGTAGTTGTTGTGACTGCTGTTGTTGATGTTGGTGAATGTTTCTTCCAATCTCTGCCTTCATTTCTGTCAATGTTTTTGTTATCATTGTTGTTAAAAACGTGTAAACTTTTCTTAGTGGTTTTGTGAGCATTGCTATTTTTTGATGATTTCAATGTTGTCACTTGTATTGGCACAAAATCATCAGGTGAGAGATCACGAATAGATTTTCCATTGAGCAATCTTGGAGTATAACAAACATTTGGACCTGCCGATGAATCAAATTTTTGAGTGAACAAGAACTCTCGAAACCAAAGTAACGATTTATCGCAATGCCATTTGTTGCTCGTTAATTTAATATTCCTTAAGATAGGAGGAAGAAAATTGTGCATGTCGTTTTTGGAGAGAGTCGTGAGGTCTGCTCCTACGAAGCTGACTGACCGCAGAGCTTTTAAGGATGAAGATATGGAAAAACGTTGCTTTTGGTGTTTACTGGGATATTTTGATTGGTCATTATTTGTTAACATAAGTCTGATAAGAGAAGGGCTGTGGTCCATTTCTAAATTTTCCAACGTCAGGTTCACGGGTTTCAAGAAAGTAGTTCGCGCATCAAGCGAATGACTTGGAGTTTCGATGTAACTTATTGACAACGATTTCAACTGAGGGAGTTCATCTAAAAATTTGTCGTCTATATATTTTATTGGATTTTTGTTAACAATTAGAACTTTTAACTTTTTATTGTTTTCAAACGATTTTTCTAACAACTTTTCAATTTTGTTGTCGCCGATATCTAAATTAGCAAGATTAGAATATGTTTTAAAACTTTCTGAATTTATTTCTTTAATTTTATTGCCGGTTAATGACAAAAACGATAAACTGTTATTTAACTGGTCACCATTATTATCAACTGACCATTCTTCGATGGCATTGTCATCGACAAGAAGGCGAGTCAGAGATGAGGGAATCCTGAAGGGAGGTTTTTTCAGCTGGTTTCCGTTCAGCCACAAATTTTGCAAATTGGTAAGAACTTCAATGGAATTATCATGAAGACTCTGAATGTTATTACCATCTAGTAGAAGAATATTCAGCCCATTACACTGCTGGAAATCCAACTTACCTATTTCATTTATTCTGTTTCTTCTTAGTTGTAAGTAGCGCAACGATTGAGATAAACCTTGGGGTACGAGTTGAAGATTGCAGTCTGAAAGATCTAAATAATTTAAACGATGACAATTTGAAATGTTCAAATGAGTCAACTTGTTAAGACGTGTGTTGTTGCGCATTATTAGACTGATGAGGTTGTTGCAAAAATTTGTAAAAGTGTTGTCACTAATTTCTTCAATGCTGTTTGACGAAATAGATAAAGATTTTAGTCTTTTTAGACCAACAAAAGTAAAATCGGTCAATCGATTAAGTTTGTTACCATCTAAATTTAATTTTTCTAATCGCAACATTTCAATAAACGCCAAATCTACATCAGTTAATTTATTATTCGATAAATCGATTTCTCGCAAGTTTTTCGAGACGCTAGCTTCTGTGGTGTCATAATTTTCATCTTCGTCTTCTTTGTAGTCGTCGGCATCTACGTGATCGGGCACGTACAAACCATCATCGTTGAACAATTTGCTATCCTCACCATCGTTGTTGCCGTTGTTATTATTATTGTTATTCTGTTGTTGTTGTACAGCAAAATATTTTTGCTCAAAAGTTGACAACTGATTGTGACTCAAATCTAAAATTTGAAGATTTTTCATACCGCTCAGCGCTTTTTCTTCAATCGATCCTATTTGATTGTGACTCAGATTTAAGTGACGAAGATCATTTAAATTAATTAACGCTGAATTCAATTTGATTTCCTCAATGTTATTGTAGCTTAAATCTAAATGTGTAAGTTGTCCGGGAAGATTTGGTGGGATTTGAATGAGTGGTGATTTGGTTCCACCACAGGTTGCATGATAGTTTTGCACATCTTCAGCTGTTTCAGACACCCAACACGCGCATGACTTTGGGCACTGCATTGAAAAAACTAATGATGAAGACGACGACGATGCCGCTGCCAACATTATTGAAAGAGTTATTGTGATAATAATTGAAGAGGCGTCAAAAAATTTTGATTGTTTTGTGTTGCAGGCTGATCTACCGTGGTATAATTTCATTTGAGAAGTCATCGTTGATGAATAAGTAGTTGATGAATCTTTATGAGCTTCCGTTGGCACTTCTGAAGAATGCTGGCTTGTATTCAGCAAACTCACACCAACATCTGCAAATGATTTCATTAGCAATGTACATATAGAGAAATGTTTAAAAAAAAGATGCTCTTAGTTATGTAAACATTCTTATTTCAAGACATTCAAAAGTGAAAAATTCAAAAAAACGAAACAACAGCCTATTTCTTGATATTTTGGATGCATCACCGCAAAAAATTAAGCTATCAAAATTTTTGAGTAGTTTTCAAGAATAAAAAAATCAGGTGCATAAAAATGTTAAAAAAATTTTTCGCATTTTTAAAATGCTTTTTTCGTTTCGTGCTTCGTTCTTCCGTTTTAGCTCATACTCTCAGGTGAAGAGAGTTTAAATAAAAAATAAATTTTTCAGACATTGAACTATTTTTCGCCATTAATGTTTTTCAAGAAACTTCAAAGCAAATAAAAAAGGATGCGAACTGACATTATGAAAGTAATTGATGGCAACCTTGAATATGCGAAGTATCGCACACGTCTTTAATTTCTTCATCGTTTTTTAAAGAATCGAAGTTTATATTTCATTCAGTTTCGAATGAATTTATATGTTATTATAATTTTTTCTGAAGAGAAAACATCAAACAGAAGAAATACTTAGAGCGCTGAAGACACAAAATATTATTAATTAATTATAAATATTATTAGTTTGTTCACAAATTTGTTCATTGAAATCCTTATTATTTAACGTCACAAAATGTGTCTGAATGTTCAAAAATATTCTTCAACTTTCCCATTGTATGCATTAAAAAGCATTATAAATATTATTACCTGGCTTCTTCGTGACATGTGTCGTCAATTTCGCTAACAAAATATATAACCAACCAAATTTATAACGATGGAAAATAAACAAAACTGTTTGAAACACGTCTAAACAAATTTCGGCACAAATTTAGGCCAACGTTATTTTCTTTCAATTTTCTCGGTTCATATTTTTGATTTAAAAACTTTTGCATCATCAGAATATTTTAATAACGGCTGGGCGGATTAAATTATGTTGTAAATTATGCCAGAAATGAAAACATTTCGGAAGTTTTTGCACTTCCTTCAGCTGTTAGGCATTAGGAAAAAAAGTTCTGCAAGATGTTGCGAAAAATTTATTTAAAATACTTTCAAATGGATGAGCATGTTGAAGCTTCATTAAACTGACTCGCATCACGGAGTTTCTGTTTGCTTATTGAAAATCTGTTTCAGAGAGTTTGTGCATATTTGAGTGAGAGTGCATGGAAAGAAGAAAGAAGAACCCAACTGCTTTTTAATGCATACAATGGGAAAGTTGAAGAATATTTTTGAACATTCAGACACATTTTGTGACGTTAAATAATAAGGATTTCAATGAACAAATTTGTGAACAAACTAATGATAACAATTTTCAGTAGAATCTATTCTTAATGCAATTATTCGCATTATTTCAACATTCCTTCAAACATTATTTAATGATTAGGTTCATTTCATGCACTCGTTTATTTAACTTTTTGTGTTGTTTATTATAATTTTTTCAACTTTAAGTGCAATCATCCACGCTATCCTTCAAGCAATCTTCCATGCAATCCTTCATACAATCTTTCATGCAATCCTTCATACAATCTTTCGTGCAATCCTTCATACAATCTTTCATGCAATCCTTCATACAATCTTTCGTGCAATCCTTCGTACAATCTTTCATGCAATCCTTCATACAATCTTTCGTGCAATCCTTCATACAATCTTTCGTGCAATTCTTCATACAATCTTTCATGCAATCTTCATTTATGCAATTTTTTATTCGATTGAAATTACAATCTCAAGCCATTTACATGTAGAACTTTTATAGGGATTGAATCCTAAATAAGATGTAAAAAATTGTACGTAAGCCGTCGAGGTAATTAAATGATGGATGATAATGACAGTGGTAATGCATGTGCTGTCAACTTTTGGAACTACAAATTCTTAAATAACCTAACCCTAAAATGAAAAAAATGTTTACTTTTCCAGAAAAAAAATTATTCCGCAAAGAAATTTTTAGATGGATGATTCTCAAGAAGATGAAAATTCTTCTTGAATATTTTTATATGATTTATTGCACTTCTTGCTTGATGCTCCGTGGAAGTGAATGTGCACGTGAGGTAGTACATAGCAGATAGATTGTGGTGTTTTAGACAGTCATCTTATTAAATGTATTAGCTTTTTGCATATAAATTATACAGAGAGTTGGTCTACCAATGCATTCGAGGTTGGCATGGTTATTTAAAAACTTGCTTTTGTGTGACTGCGCTTAAATGCATGTGAGGGCCAGAGATGATGATGTCGGTGGACGTGAAATGCTACACAGCGTTGGATACTTCGCAAGATGCGAACTCGAGAAACATGCCAGCACTCCATCTTAACATCAGGCAACCTGCTAGAACGAAGTAATTGTTTGGAATGTTAAGCGAGAACAAGGTGCGGATTAGTGAAACATTCAAATGTGTGAAAAATATTTGCTGCTTAGTCTTAGATCTTCTGTTCGTCAAAAAAAAATTTTTTTTTCAAGTTGACTGATGGTTTTCGACTAAATAACTTTTTTCATTTTTTAACATTCCTTTAAGCCAGTATACATTCTTGAAGAATTTTTAATGAGTGTTTCAACATAAGATAGCCTACCAAGGGCGGCATTCGTAGATCTCAAGGCCCTGTGCCAATAAGTAAGTGGAAGCCATTTAATTACTTTCAAAATTAAAAAAACAAAAATGAAACTTTTGTTAAGTGGGGGGATTTCAAACACTTCATTGCCCACAAATGAAGTAATTTCAACAAAAATGTAATAGAGTTGAACACAACTCATTCGCACTAAATTACTGCGTTAAAGAACGGAGCAACATTGTTATGCCTTTGCAATATTCGCCATAAATACAAAAAAATGAAGCTAAAGAAAAATAACGTCGTAATTATGAAATTAGTTGACCTCCAGCGTGGGGTCACGAACCGACACTGGCCATAATTAAACCAACGTTTCGAGAATATTCAATTTTCGTAAATGTACGCACGTGCACGTCTTAGAAAGACAAAGTCCAACACAATTTTGGAAGAAGAAAGAGATGATTCTAGAATATTTAATTTTCGTAAATGTACGCACGTGCACGTCTTAGAAAGACAAAGTCCAACACAAACATTGCCCTGCACGCCACCTTGCGTCGTTCTCTGTCGAGCTGCAATTAAGAGATTCATCGAGTGGACCGTCTGTTTGCCGGGCTGTTGTCAGATGCAAATTTTTATTGCATGCAGAGCTCTGTTGTGTTCACGTGTTTGAACGCTCCTATCTGCGTGTGTGTGTGTATGTGTATGTGTGTGTGTGTGTGTGTGTGTGTGTGTGAATGTGTGCGTGTGAACAAATTCACGAACGTTCGTATCGCATGGTCATCGTCGAATTTCCACCTGAATTAGAATGGTTGGCAGTGCATTTGTTTATAAAGTCTTAAAAAATGCGTCTCTCGCTCGAATGCTCCCACCTCTAAACTTGCAGGCTTCTTGCAGAAATCGTTTTAGGTGTATTCGCGTGCACATGCCAAGTTTTATCTAATCAAATTAAATTTTCAAAAAATTTAAAACGCCCATCATACAAGTTCTCACAAGCGCTCTCTATAGTAAAACAATTCGAAATTAATCATCAAATAAAATATAGAAATATATAGAGATATGTTTTAATCATTGTTTTATTCATCTTTTGAGGCGCGTGTGCGAGTGTGAGAATGTGTAACTTTGCGCGCGCGTGTGTGTGCGTGTGTGTGTGCGAGTGTTCGTTTGAATGCGTCTGCTTGTTTATGCATGTTCATTTTCATAAATGTTCATCGTATCCCGCGGTGGAGATAATTATCATGATCATTATTAATTTAAACTTTCAAACAATCGAACAAAACAAGACATCATTGTAAAGATATAAACAGACAGATGTTACTTCTCTGTTGTTTTGTTGTTGTTATCATGTTGTTGTTGCTGTCACATCCAAATCACTGTTACTCTTAATAAATAACATTTTGTCAATTTTGTATGGATTTAAACTGGACCGTCCCTTTTGCAGTGTATAATTGAGAGATGATCCTATCCTTCCTTTATCAATTACATCTACCTGTGGATCAACTTCAACATTTTTTACCTCGGACATTTTTATAAAATAATCGATAATTAACCACGCCGTAAATAAAATAACTACTTCTTTCAAAGTAAACAGGAAAAAGAAATGGTTGCTTCAATGGCTTTCAAAGATATTAAGATTTTAATATATAAAATTATTACAATGATAATGCAATTTTCAAAATGTTATGAACGAACAAAAATATTTAACAAAATTTTTGCGGTCACCGCGGTTTTGATAAAAAAAACCGCGCCGCGGAAAAACCGCATATTTGAAAACCGCAACCGCGTAAAACCGCATGATTTTGCACCGCAACCGCAAAAAACCGCGGTTGCGGTGCGGTTTTTGCGGTTTAAACCGCGACAACCGCAAACCGCGCAGGGCTCTAATTTGTATGTAGTTTGTATGTAGTATGTATGTTGTTTGTATGTAGTTTGCAAGTTGTTTGTATGTTGTTTGTATGTAGTTTGTATGTTGTTTGAATGCTGTTTGTATGTAGTTTGTATGTAGTTTGTATATAGTTTGTATGTAGTTTGTATGTTGTCTGGGTGTTGTTTGCATGTTGTTTACATAAAATTACAGAGTAGTGTCTGTCCAACAAAGAGTGATTTAAAACAAAAGAATTTTATGGCCCTTGCATCTTTCTTAAGAGCCATGTTTTTCATTTGAGTCTCATCTTATATAATTTTTTATTTGTTTGTCGCTCTTTCTTTCTTTTTCTTTTTAAACCTTTTTTAATTTTATTGTTTTAGTTTGCGTTTTCCTCAACAAAAAAATAAATAAAAAAAAATAAATCTTAAAAATTTGTAGCAGTAACGGTTTGGGCTATCAGAATTAAAACGGCGCTGTTCTGTGTCGTTCAAAATGTTGTTTTGTTGTATGTTGCTTCGTTTGTATGTTGTTTCGTTTGTATGTTGTTTTGTTTGTATGTTGCTTCTTTTGTATGTAGTTTTGTTTATTGTTTTATTTGTTTGAGTTACACCTTTCGTTAATTTATTATTTTTATCCATGGAAACAAATTGTTTGTTGTATGTATGTTGTTTGCGAACTGTATGCATGCATTTTAAAATTTCGTTTTCAGTTGGAAGATATTCACTCGCGAACAACTGCGAACACGTGCAGTCTGCATGTTTTCCTTTGCTTTCCAGGGTTAATAAATTATTTTGTCTTAGAAACTTAAGTTTCTTTTGTTTTAATGTACACATACTTCAGCACGTTTGCATACATATATACGCACCTATTTAGTCGCAATTAGTATAAAACAAATTGTTGTTTCTTTTTTTGTCTTCAACACTATATATTTCGGTGTGTTTGTTTATTTGTGTGTGTTTGCCTGCTGTGTTTATGCACGTACGTGTGCATGCATGTTCGTTTGTATGTCTGCATCTGTGAGCTTTGATATGGAGCTGAACAACTTTTAAATATCAGAATATAAGGATGGATTTAGGAAAGCGTCATTGGGGCAATGCAGTTGAAGCTCTCGTAGTATAACTGCATGCATTCAATTCAATTTCATTCGAAGTTTCGTACTGACTCAGCCGAGCTTTGCACTTGGAAGATAATTTTCTTATTCTTCGATGTTTCATGAAAAAAATTTTTTTTATCGTCTCTTGTCGTTTGCCCGCATCACTTCTGAATTTTTTATATTCGAACACTTGAAAGAATTTCTTCAAAAAACATTTGCACTAAGGTGCTTATTTTTATCAAAAAAAAACTTTTAGAAAAAATAGTTTAAAAAATGGTTGAGAAACATTCAGATTTCTATTTAATATCTTGATTTTTTTTAATTTAAATAGACATAAAATAATGTTTAGAAAAGTGTCAAAGATTATATATTATATATTTTAGGGACAATAAGAAATAAATTTAAATGAATTATCGATTTTTTAAAGTTTTAAGAAAAATTTTTGAAAAAAAAATAAAAAAGCGTTTGTTTGATACATCCATATGATATATTTACACGATACACACATATGATACATCTACAAGATACATCTACAAGATACAGACACACGATACACACATATGATACATCCACAAAATACAGAGACAAGATACATCTATATGATACATCTACATGATACACATTCCACAACCACACCAAACATCTTCGCAAAAAACAAATTTGAAAAAAACAATGCCGACATTTGACGCATACAAACCTTCATCAATGATAAATAGGGGCTGTTGAAGATTGTTGAGATTAAGAAGAGGTCATGATGATGATGATGATGAGGATGATGTTGTTGTTGTTGTGTTTGATAATGATGTTGTTATTGTTGATGATGATGATTTTGTTGTCGTTGTTGTTGATGAGGATGATAAATATTGATAATGTAGTAAAATGTAAACGTTAAATTTTTGGAGTTTTTATTTTCTGTTGACGACGACGCTGATGCTAATGAAGTTGAATCAATGATAAGTATAATACTCTCGTTGTGTATAGTTTATTGCAACTGCGATTTTAATTTGTGTGTAATCCGTGCGAATGAAACGTCTTGTTGAATGTCATTAATCTATTTAGTGGAGCACTCCCTGCCATCTAGCATCGTTACATTAATTGGAATTACAAATAACTTTATATTAATTATAATTGCGTTACGACATCCGAACAATCCTTCAAAATAATTACTTCAAAACTTTGTTTTTCGCCGTTAACAACATATGATCGAGCACAAATTTCAACGTGTTTAAAAATTACGATTAATTAGTAGTAGTTAAGTGAACTTTTATTATTTCATAAATTCAAACATTTGAGACGTTGATTAACAGCTGATGTCATGCAGCTGCATGAAACAACAAACAAACAAACAAACAACTAATGCCAAGTTAAAAATTAAAGCACATCGGCAAGAAACAAGAAGTCACATCCTACCTGAACCCATATCTTAACAATCAATACAACGTCACAATGAATTTTAAATACCGTTCGAACGTTACAACGGTCGTTAAATACAAGTTCGTTATATAACTTACGTGCATATGAATATTGTTTGAAATGAGGAATCCTTGTTTAAATATACATATATACTTGTGTGCTCAGTGCAAACATATGTCAAAAATATGTATTTATGTATGTGTGTATGTATGTATGTATGTATGTATGTATGTATGTATGTATTTATGTATGTGTGTATGTATGTATGTATGTATGTATGTATGTATGTATGTATGTATGTATGTATGTATGTATGTATGTATGTATGTATGTATGTATGTATGTATGTATGTATGTATGTATGTATGTATGTATGTATGTATGTATGTATGTATGTATGTATGTATGTATGTATGTATGTATGTATGTATGTATGTATGTATGTATGTATGTATGTATGTATGTATGTATGTATGTATGTATGTATATATAAATTTGTGTGTGTGGGTATGTTCATATAGAATTGTCAGAATTTTTGGCATTGATTAATTTAAAGTTTATCTTTTCAATTTTCCTTACTAAAATTTTCTGGTAATTGTTTAGTTTATAAAAATAGAATTATTATCCAAGTTCACCGAAACTGTTGTTGTCCAAATTCATGGTGCAGATAGGTTTTATTTCAATTTTTCACAAATCATCTTCAGTGCGGGAACAATATAAACCAAACCTGCACTGTTTCATTAACAACAGTTTCATTGAATATTCATAATGAACTTGGATAGTAATTCTTTTTTTAATAAATTGAACCATTTCCAGGAAAATTCTAGCAAAAAAATTGAAAAGACAAACTTTAAATTGATGAATGCCAGCAATTCGGTAGATTTCATGCAATACAGTCTCCCTCCAAGGTATGTATATATGTAAATGTATCTGTAGCACATAGTGAGGTTTAAATTTAATGGCTGACTTTCATATGCACTAAAAGGCTCAGTCGTACAACGGCCGTGGATTGTTAGACTGCTGCTGGCGTTATTTATAAACTTTATTTGATATTCATTCAAAGTCACTTTACATATATATATATATATATATATATATATATATACATTTATTTATTTATTTGTCTATAGCTTTGTTTAGTAGCATGAGGGTTAGAATTATTAGTATTGTATCATTATGACAATTATTATTATTAATTATTATTATTAATTATTATTATTAATTATTATTATTATTATTTTTAGAATGAATTATTAGTTTACTAAACAGGTCAGATGCTTAAAATCATGATTAACTAAACAAAATTATGTATATATTTGTTTATTTATGTTTATGTATGCAAGTGCAAATGTATGTGTTGTGCAGTTGGATTTAAATTAATAATTAAGTTAATAGCAGAGCGGTGTGCACAACTTGACAGCCACACAAACCGAGAAGGACTGAAAAATAAAAATGAAAAAAAAAACTTAAAAAGTATTTATAAATGAGTTTTTAGTTTAACTGCAAGTTGATGTAATAAGTTGTGGTGCAGTTGTTGTCATTTGCGTGTTGTGCAGTTTTAAAGCGAACTACGCAGGCACCTGCTGCCGATTGCATGATGAGCTCGAGAACATTTGAGCGCATGCTATTGATCAACCAGATGAGTGCTGAAAAAAATTTTACATTTCAAAATTTGAAAAAATGAGCCATGGTTTCTTCACGTTGCGACGTTTCTGCTCCAAAAAGTTCTTTTAATTATTCAAACATACTTCCTCTCGTATATTGAGACACTGCAACCAACAAAGTAAGAAGCAGTAGAGAAAGATAGAAGGGAAGGAAGGAAGGAAGGAAGGAAGGAAGGAAGGAAGGAAGAGAGGGAGGAAGAAAGAGAGGAGAGGAGCAGCCCCCAACGTACGCATGCCTGACGACATGAAATTCGAAGAAGCACCGACAGTCGTAAACCGTTGACGTTGAAGACGTTTGACGAGCACTCGTACCCTACATCACGTCCATATTTATTATTTCAATTCCATCTATCCATCCGTCTATTTATTTTCCATCCATTCCCACACACACACACACACACACACACACACACACACATATATATATATATATATATATATATATATAATATTGTAAATATATATATAATATATATATATATATATATATATATATATATATATATATATATATATTAGGGTGGGTCGAATTTTTTTATCTTTCCTGTACATGAACAAAAAGTTGTCTTGGCATCAGTACAGTAGGAAAATAATATTTAAAGATTTTTTATGAAACGTTTAGGAGTCCCAACTTTTGATTAAAGTCTTACCTTATTTGGTGTATTTTAACCATTTCCTTGGTACAATCTAAATACGTACCGAACTATGAATCATTAACTAAAATGCATTGGCAAATGGCTTAGCACCTAACTACAAGTGCTAAAAAAGAAATGGAGTAAATTTTATAACGTTATTTGCATGTGACGTCACCAACATTAACAACAAACCATGTGCTGGATTTTTTAGAAACAAGCAAAATATCTAATATAATATTTTGTAATTTTATTTTCTTCTTTGCAATAATAGATCTATAGTAAAATTCAAGTAGGCTAATATAGATGTATACTACAATAGGCTATAGTCTAGACTGTAGATAAATCACTTCATTTAACTGGAGGAGAACTTAGGTAGACCATTACAGTGGTTGGTATGCCTTCCACAGTGTAACGAGCTGCCATTTAGAAGGTTTTTGGCAGGCGTGGATTTTGCTCGAACTACAGGACCTTCCACATCGACAGGTACAATTAGCTCAGCTCTAGAATATGATCCAAATGAATTGCCTGTCGTTAATTATTTGCCAATTACTGGTAAGGTGACTGATTGTGATGAAGCTGTCAAGAAGGATCTTAGCACAGACCAACTGTAGTTTTTGGAAGCATGTCTAGCAGTACAGCGTGGACGTCAGGCTTCTACAGATATTGATTTCCTCGAAAGAGTTTACCTGGAAATATAAGTCATGCTCGATGGTTGACGAAAGCCAACAGGATTTTGCGTCTCTACATGTCTAGAGAAGTGGCATCTGAACCTCTCAGAAGAGTAACGCATTTCATTTTGAACTTTTACGGACCCTCTTGGTTCAAAATTAAATCAAATTCTTCTTGCCGAAATGGTGCTAACAACTTCTTTTACTTAGTTCAGTTGTTTCGGGAACTTGATGCCTTAGATCAGGCTGTGGTTTGTCCTGTTCTCAAAAATAACTGCTACTTTGCGCATGCTGAAAACATTCTCTTAGCTGCAGTTAGTGATAGTGATAAGGAAATTCGTCGTTTTTCAGTAGAACAAATAATAAGAGCAAGAGAGAAGCAGACTAATAGTAACATCAACTTACTTACACACATCCAATACTACTGCCCGATGTTCCATGTCATTCACAGGCAGTAGAGAGAACAATTAAAGACGTTAGCGCTGCCAGCTGTAAAGTTTATGGGAAAAAGTCCCGTCATGGCATGGTGTTACAGAGTAAGAAATCCAGATTAGAGATACCAAAAATAGACAGCAAGAAAGATTTAATTAACAGTTAGGTTAAACAACTTTGTATTGTTGCTGTTTAACATTGATTCGTTACAGTTTACATTCTTTTTAATTTGTAATACATTGCAATACATTACCCTAACATTGGGTATTTATGTAGTCTTTCTAGTCAGAGTTGGGACCTGTAGACACTGTCCATAAAATAAAAAGTGAGGTTTTTTCAAACGAGTACATCAAAAAGCAACTTTTTAGACATGCACAGGATCTCCAACTTAATATTTTTTACATTTCGACTCACCTTAATATATATATATATATATATATATATATATATATATATATATATATATATATATATATATACGAGGAAGTATATCTATTATATATATATATATGTATATAAATATGGATGGGAAAATGAGATAATAAAGATGGACGTGATGTAGCGTACGATTGCTCATCAAACGTCTTCAGCCTCAACGGTTTACGACTGTCGGTGCTTCTTCGAATTTTATGTCGTCATGCGTGCATCTTCTGTATGTCTCTTCCTCCCTATCTTCCCATGCTGATGCTGGTCTGCATTTGCTTCCAGTGTGTTGCAGTTGGATGAAAAATATCCGAATCCAGCAAAAAATGATGACCGATGCCGACACTCTGTTTGCTTCTAACTTTATTGATTGCAGTGCTTCAAACTTGTTGGTTGCAGTGTTTCTAACTTGTTGGTTGCAGTGCTTCTAACTTTATTGGTTGCAGTGCTTCAAACTTGTTGGTTGCAGGGCATCAAACCTGTTGGTTGCAGGGCTTCTAACTTGCTGGTTGCAGTGCTTCAAACTTGTTGATTGCAGTCAGTAATTGTGTTTATGTACGAAAAAATATTTTTTATAAATTCAATAATTTTTTAGACATTCAATCATTGTTGGTTTCAGCGATTCGCTCATTCCTTACTTACTGAACGTAACAACTGAACAACGCAACATAATTGGTTGATTAAATTTAAATGCACGCTTTGTATGAAAACAGTTCAACTTTCTATTTTGGAATTAATTATAAATTATTTTCTAATGCAAGTGCTAATGTGTTAATGTTATGAACATTTGTTCTTAAAATTTTTGTGCTGGTGATTAGGAATGAGCTGATAAAATGTGGCTGCCGACTAAAATTATATATATATATATATATATATATATATATATATATATATATATATATATATATATATATATATCGTACAAAGCGTGTGTGTGCGTCTGTGTGTGTATCTACAAATTAATACTGCAAAAGGATTTTTGTAGCATGGCATTAAATTGAGTTCAGTTTTGTCCTTAAGATTAACGAAGAGATTTCATAATTCTGAAAATATCAAAAAGATGGATGTTATATCAAGTTGTTTGAGAATGAATTATAACTGGCTGTTTTGATGCATCCAAATCTATCCAATCTATTCATGCAACAATCTATCCATCTATCTACCACTCATCCAACCATGCACCACTCCATCAATCAATCCATCAAATCATCCATTCATCTATCCATCCACGCATTCATGCATCCGATAATAATTACGAAGACCATAATTTTGGAAATGGTGAAACTGATAATTAGACCTAGTAGGTGGAATGATTTCCTTAAAATAAGTTATGTGGGTGCAGCTTCGTTGAATTCCACTTCTAAAACTCGTTTACCCTGCGTTAATCATTTTTTCGTTTGTGAAATAAATAATTTTTTGGTTTCTGTTTTATTCGGAAATCAATGTATTATTGAAAGAAGCCTGTCTGTCTGTCGTCATCATAGTTTGAACCCACTACTACCATTATCAAAGACGTGGTTCCTTCAGCGGTTGAAGGAACCACGTCCAAATCTCATTTGCATTCACTTCTGTCTCTCTATTTCATTTTTAAATAATTTATAAATGATTAAGAAACAAAACCAGCAACATTTTCCACTGGTTGTTGGTATTGTTCATCATTTTGCAATTATTCAAGTTTGAAATGTCTGACTTGAAATAAAAAAGGGTATTAATAATATCGCATGTGAATTGTTGGATCAAAGATGGAGGATAATGGTGTGCAGTGTGGGCAGAATTATGAACATTTTTTATTTCAATGCTGGTCCTCTACTGATATCATTAAGTTATCGCTACGAACTAAGGAGTACTATGCTTATTACTACGCAATTATTGGACAATTTTCAGTGGCATAATAGTTGTAATATGAACATTCATTTAATCAAGTGCTTTATTGTTGTAGGAATTAGCTGTTGATTGTTCTGGTTTTGTTTTATTGTTGGTGGTTGTGGTGGTGGTTGATGTCAGTTGGTTGGTTGATTGTTGTTGGGCTGTTGTATTAGGTTGTTGATTAGTTGAATGTGGTGTGATTGTTTGGTAGTAACATCTGCAACCAAAAGTTTTCATTGTGTTTGTACGACTTGTTATTTTAATTTCAAATTTATACTAGAAAAAGTTAAAATTTTTTTAGTGTCTTTGATTTTTAACAAGTTGCATATACATTCAATTGCAAAGTCACATATAAAAACATCCAAAATAACAAAATGATCACAAAAGCTTCAAACATGAATAAAATTTTTATATTCATTCAATTGTAGGAAGAGTGTGTTGAAATAACAAATAAAAGAAAGAATAAAAGAATGACTACTGATTTGTTGCAAGTCTTGAATGCGTGACAGCAGAGCTACCTACACTCACTGTTTGTCAAGCTATCGACTTGCTCGTGCGCACATTCAAATGACTTTTGCTGCCAATTTTCATTTTCATGTTGTCTCAATTTCTGCAATGACAACCGCCAACAAAAATGTTTACATCAGTTACTGCCTACAGTAGTGTTAACAGTATGTTGTGTTCAGCAGCAGTTGCAGGCTCAACGTCACAACATCACAAATGTTCAGAGCGGCTGATTTCGTTAGAGAGGCTTCCAGATGTGAGAAGTATTTTTATTCGAACTCAGTAAAATCCAGTTTTGGACACAAGAACACCGTTTTAAGAAGAAAATTTACAAAAAGTTTGCGAGATAAACAAAACAGTCGCAGCGTAATTTGGCCACACCAACAAAAATTTTCAAAACTTTTGCATTCTCTCGTCAACTTTGTCTCGGTCCTTCGCTGAATGTTCATCAGATCAGGACCATTGCAGTCACATATATCTCGGTTAACAGTGCAACTGCTGTTTATAAACACCACTTCAACTTTGTAGGTAATCTTTTATTTCATAGATATTTTCAACTGAAAACATGACTGGCACCACCATCACACTTCAACACCCGCCTTACTTCTCCATCTTCATTTTGCACGCAGCCAACTACCCGATGGAATTCAGCAGCACAGAGGAAGTACTGCTACACGCGGATGCAATGGAAGGAAACCCGAAATGACACTTATAATGTTTGAGAACGAGACATTCTTTGGAAATAACTTTTATAAAATTTGAGAAAGACTGCCTTTTAAAAATTGAAGTTATTTAGTCGAGCATGTTTGGAATGATTTAATATTTCATATCAGGCATAGGAATCAAGTGAACAATCTTTGACAGGCGATAAATCAAGCCGAGGCACCGTTTTGTTATGTGCAGACGTTCAATTATTAATATATATTGGGTCATCAAGAGAAATTTATTCATTTATTTTTGTCAAATATTAATAGCTATGAGTATTATTATTATCATAATTATTAGTAGCAGTAGTAGTAGTAATAGTAGTAGAAGTAGTAGTTGTAGTAGTAGTAGTAGTAATAGTAGTAGTTGTAGTAGTAGTATTAGTAGTAGTATTAGTAGTAGTAGTAGGAGTAGTAGTAGTAGTAGTAGTAGTAATAGTATAACTATAATTAAATGATTGTAGTAAAAAACTCAATACTATATACGACATGTGTAAATTCTAGTGAAAGAAATCTTTTGAGCAAAGACAGTGTCTCACTGATGTTTTGAATACCTTATAATTCGAAGCATTTGAAATGTTAAAAATGTGATTAGCCAGGCTGTCAGCAATGTTTGTGGTTCCACATCAGTTCTCTTCGTTAAAAGTTCTTCAATGAATGTTTAACCATTCATATGCAGCAGTTTGTTGAAATAATAATAATAATAATTATTATTATTTTTTTATATTTTTATAACAATAATAATTATAATTATTATTATTATTGTGCGATAATAATTTTACATAATAAAAAGAAGTTGGAGGCAGCCAGTTTGTGATGTTGAAGAGGAGTATTTATTTAATGTTGTTGAACAATTGTTAACATTATGATTACAATTTGTTATGGTTGTGATGTGGTAACTCTAGTAAATGTTTGCAGTTGCTGGTCTGATAATAAAAAAATACAGGCGCCTGGTGGCATTTGTGGCAGCCACTCAGTCGCGAGAAGTTCTTTAGTGATTGAAATTGTTAGAACAAGCATCGACAAATAGTATTACAGAATATCCTACCGGCTTTCAACTAAAAATAACAGTCACTGAGTTATGTTGAGTCTAAAATGTCTAAACAAACTAACGGTACAATATTACATTGAATGAGGTGAGATTTCAATTTAAATTCATTCAAAACTTAACTACAGAATGGCAGCCAGACATGCTGCAAAACTTCAAAACACATATGCAACCAGGTCTATACCTATTATTTACATACACACACACACTGATATATATATATATATATATATATATATATATATATATATATATAGAAAGAGAGAGAGAGAGAGGGAGAGAGAGAGAAAGAGAAAAAGAAAGAAAGAGATAATACGTAGATTGCTTTACAGACGTATTCATATGCCCTTATAAAGTTAAATACTAAGAAACGAACTGAGAATGAATTGAATGCTTATTGCTTATACTCGATGAATTCTCTCTTCATTCAATGCGATCACATGTTTGGAATGTTCGTTCGTATTGTTTGCACGCACCTCACTTACTACTGCTGACACGAACCTTTGCTGACATTGCATTCTTTTAGCAATAACTATTATAGTCTTAATAATATTATTATAAATTAAAACAATAATAATAAATATTGTTATTACTACTGCTAGTAGTAGTAGTGTCGGTAGT